GAAAAGGCCTTGGATCATGAAAACAGCAAGGCATCATGTTTCTTGAAAAGGATCAACATTTGAGAACATGCTAGTAACTAAGAATATGCTTGCTTAGAATCATGGAATCATAGAATTGTTAAGGTTGGAAAAGACCCTTAAGATCGAGTCCAACCGTTAACCTATCACTGCCAAGTACATCACTAAACCATGTCCTCGAGCGCCACATCTATCCGTTCTTTAAATACCTCCAGGGATGGAGACTCAACCACTTCCCTGGGCAGCCTCTTCCAATGCCTGACTACCCTTTCGGTGAAGAAGTTTTTCCTAATATCCAACCTAAACCTCCCCTGGCACAGCTTGGGGCTGTTTCCTCTCATCCTATCACTTGTTACTAGGGAGAAGAGACCAACCCCCACCTCGGTACAACCTCCCTTCAGGTGGTTGTAGAAAGCAATAAGGTCTCCCCTCAGCCTCCTCTTCTCCAGACTAAACAACCCCAGCTCCCTCAGCCGCTCCTCATAAGACTTGTGCTCCAGACCCTTCACCAACTTCGTTGCCCTTCTCTGGACACACTCCAGCACCTCGATGTCCTTCTTGGAGTGAGGGGCCCAAAACTGAACACAGTACTCGAGGTGCGGCCTCACCAGTGCCGAGTACAGGGGCACTATCACCTCCCTGGTCCTGCTGGCCACACTATTCCTGATACAAGCCAGGATGCCATTGGCCCTCTTGGCCACCTGAGCACACTGCTGGCTCATGTTCAGGCAGCTGTCAACCAACACCCCCAGGTCCTTTTCTGCCAGGCAGCTCTCCAGCCACTCCTCCCCAAGCCTGTAGCGTTGCATGGGGTTGTTGTGACCGAAGTGCAGGACGCAGCACTGAGCCTTGTTGAACCTCATACAGTTGGCCCTGGCTCAGCGACCCAGCCTGTCCAGGTCCCTCTGTAGGGCCTTCCTGCCCTCCAGCAGATCGACACTTCCTCCCAACTTGGTGTTATCTGCAAACTTACTTAGGTAATGAAAGAATTAACAGAAAGTCTCTAAGAACCAAGCAGCATCTCAGTCAGCACCCAATTTCAAATTTGAGCTTAAGAATTGTGCCAAAATTTCAGGAACAGTTTAATTATAGCATTCTTTACACTTCCTTTCATCTTTTCTAAGTTTCCAGAAATGCTTAGCCCTTATTTATATACGATAGAGAAGAACGGTTTCCATAGGAAACCAGAGTAATTAATTCTATGTGTGCAAATGGACACGGGGATGAGCGTACAAACACACATCTCCCAGGCAGTGGCAATGTCCCTAAAGGAAGCAGCTGAACTTGTTCTTCTAATTGGTATATGAAATCCTGTGGTCACAGCTTCCAGGTATAAAGGGCATTGCCAAGATTTTGAAATTAGTGGAAATGTCCATCTTCGACAAACCTCAATCTATTGTTTGTACAAAATGGAGTGTTTGAAAATATTAATTCTGTCATACGCAGTAGTGTCATGTCTTTCAGGGTGAAAAAATCCTGAAAAAAGGCACAAAAGAGAATGAGAACTTTTCTCCACTTTTCATGTTACTAAAAATATTTGATACCCGAGTGTTCTACGCTGCCATTTGAAAAGAGCAATTCTTAAAGGCACATGCTAAAGATGTGAAAGAAGGCTACAGCTACCATTCTAAAAGTTAACCATGATTCTCCAAACAGTGATAAACTCAAGCCCCATAGTTTCCGGGAAAGCATGAAAGTTTTTCATAAACACTTAAGATGCATGGTAATCATCACCCAAAACAACAAAAATACCACAGATGTAACAGACTTTCAAGTGAGAATGATAACCACAGGATTAGAATTTATCTCCTTGGCTGTTTAAGTAGGGGGCAAGATCCAGCCCTCAGAGCTGAAAGGCCAAAGTACTCACTTTACAGAATTTGTTTTTCTCTTCTCCACCACGGGACTATAGAATAAATGAACTCCTTCAACACAGCAAATCTACACTGCCCAGCCAGCCCACTAAATCCTCCCCAGCCGCCTCCACGTGAACTCAACAGCAACCTCTCTCCAGAGCTATGAAAAGGAGATATTAAAACTTGCCATAAAGACATTGTGCTTGGGCTACACTACAGAAATAGTTGATACAAACTGAAATTTTCACCATATGAC